TTTTGTTCCTTCTGGACAATTCAGCCAAATTTCCGAAGTTAAAAGTAAAGTCCATAGAGTGTTTCAGAACGTATTTCAGGATTCCTCCAATTCTAGCAACCCCCAAAACTTCAAGCTCCTCCAAGCCCAGGTCCATGTCCCAAAAGTCAGTCAATCCCTGGATAGAGGGTTCTTTCCAACCTTCCTTCTTCAATCCAAGCCGGGATCCTAGCCTCAAAATTTGACTTTTGCTAGATTCAGTCATGAAAGACCTCAATTTATAATCCTCAATCTGCTTCTGAGAAATTAAGGATCCCGCTTGTACTACTTTTGGTTTCACATCATCAGCTTTCTCCTTTTTCTCCACCATTTTCACATCATCAGCTTTCTCCTTTTCCTCCACCATTTGTCCAACCAAGGTATGTTCCTGTACCAAATCCTGAGTTTTTTCTGTATTGACACTCACTTTTTGATTCAAATTAATCACGTTCTGTTCCAAGTTGTCAATTTTAGAGATCATGTCACCTGTCTTTTTATGTAGCTGTTCCAGCGAGTAGTTTATCTTGTACAATACAGTCACAATGGCTTCTCCTATCAACATTTTGAGTGATCCAAGGTCAGACTCCAATTTTCAGAATCTTATCTTGCAGCTGGAGCTCTCCCTGTTGCACTCCTGTAACAGTTTCACATGCTCCCTCTAGAGGGAAACAGTCTCCGTTTGTATCAATTCTTTCAAGCACGACTGAAGCAAGTAACAATAGTTTCAATTTTCGGTTACTTTTTCCTCCATTTTTTAAACGCAGAAGAAGACAAAGGAAACAGTGCCTTTCTTATTTTAGCTAGCTGTCAAATCCGTTCTGTCAATAAACATTCCCCGAACGTCATCTGGCAGCCCTTTTCCAGGTTCAGAGCAGTGGCAATTTAATTTTGACTCTCTTCTGCAGGCGCACTAAATCCAAAACTTCCCTCTCTTCTCCTGCTTCCAAGAGAGGTTATGTATTTTTGTCTGGTGGGAATTTAATCCTTTATCAAAAGCTTTCAAAGACTTTAGCTTGTAACTTCTTTGCTTCAATCTATTTACAAAACGGGAGGCGGACTTCCTGTTTAGAGCCTTCCCGCTTCAGCGCCAAATTAAAGTGTTTCAAGATCCAATTCTCTGTTCTACTCACGGGTAGTCGTTTAAAGTCCAATTGTCCACAGGAAAAAGTCAGCGCTCTCCGGCAACAGCAATGCGGCTTCACTCCGTGAAAGAAGCGGTTGATTCAAAGCACCGCGCCGCTCACCCCACGTCGCTCCGGATCCCCAAAACAGGGTTTCCCCGCGAGTAGGGGAGGCGCAAAGGTGCCAGCCGAATCCCAGGTTCACAGGCTTCTCCCGCCTGTGATTTCTATGGGTCTCTGCCTTCACCGTGGCGGTCAGACCCTGCTTTTCACGGAGCAAATTCCTCCCGATCGGAGGAATTCAGCCATTGCCGGAGGCACCTCCCCGGAAATCCCTAATGTATTGATATAATTTTTGAAAGCATCACTGAAAATATTTGGATCAGACATTACAAAATCTGTAAATAATGTGTGTGGGCACATTACTTTTTTGGATTTCACTTATGTGTTATTGAAATATATTCAATAACATAATATTATTCACAGAGGCTGAGAAACAATCTATCATCTGCATATCATACAGCAAAACAAAACCAAAAAACATTTGGTCTGCTATCTCTTACTGATTGGTGAAAGATCATACATATATCCACTGAGGTAACATTCCTGATGTAAAACAATACTCTCATGCTGCATAGTTAGTCAACAGCTAAAAAATAAAAATGCAATTGAATGTAAGCAACAAAAGGACAAAACAAGCTGACAAATGGCGAATCCTGTCCTTCTTATTATGCTGTAGTGACCTTCCTAGACCATTCACTCATTGCGAAGTATTGGAAGACACAAGATCTACCCACTCTGGAAGAATGGCAGATGAAGGTGATTGACTACATGGAATTGGCGGAAATGACTGGCAGAATCCGAGACCAGGGAGAAGAGTTGGTGAAAGAAGACAGGAAGAAATTTAAGGACTATTTACAGAAATACTGTAAAATTAATGAATGTTAGAAAAATGTTGGATAGAAACTAAGTGGTTTCCAGCTGTAATGCTTTAAGAGATATGAAAAAAGGTTTACAAATGGGTAAAAGCTTAATGGTAAGGATTTGCTGAACTAACAAATTGAACTGGAATACAAAAAAGGGAAGTATGAGGAGGTCCAGGGAAATAAGTGTAAGGAAGATAGGTTATGGAAAATTAACGTATTTTTAACTGTTTTATTTTGTATGCTGTCTTTTTTTATTATTTTTTTTTACTTTTTTGCTATATCTCAAAAACTTTATTTCTTTTTTTATTTTTTATTTTTTCTGTATTCTGTATTTTCCTGTATTTTTTGAAACTTTAATAAATATCATTTTAAAAAAAAAAGGAATCAGCCCAGCCCCACAAATTGCCATCATTGAAGGACAAAACCTGGGAGCTATAGGTTACATAGCACTTTCAGCCTCAGCCTTGATGTAGAGCATACTTCAGCTCTTTTTAAAAAATAAAGTTTTTAAATGGTGTTTGTACTTCTCTTTGAATAGAAATGTAAAAAATAACTCTTCGGCATGGTGAAAATAAATGGCCGCTCAACTGCTTTCCTAGGTGGGCAATGTCCTTCCCCTCACTCCTAGCTGCCATCCCTGGGTGGCTGGAGATCACTTTGCCGGCTGGCTAGAGGGGAATTTGCCTGGCTGGCTGCTCTGACAGGCATAATTGCCCGCCAAAGCCTTAAGTTCAAATGGGCCAATCAGAGGCCCTTGTTGCTGGTCAATGCCTTGCTGGTTGGCCAGGCATTGTCTGTTTTCATGCCCAGACACACTGACGCCAACTCTATGAGGTCCTGGGTGCCTGGGTTCCCACAATTTTGTGTGTGGAGGCTCAGCCCCCACACCGTGGGGCTCTGACATGACTTCTGGTTTTAACATGCACACTACATTGTGCACTTCCCAGGGCTGTAGCTAGGGGGTTGTGAGGTGGGCGCCTGCCAGGGGCGCAGGCGAGGGGGGACACAAAATTGGCTGCCAAGACCCTCCAGCCAGCACTCCCTGCCCACAGCCCAGGCAGGGCGGGGAAGAGGGTCTGGGCGGCAGCTGCTCCCGGCTGCTCCGCTCACCCCTTGGCCCTCCTGGCAGCCAGGCGCAGCGCCCATCCTGTTTGGCTGTGAGGCACTGGCTCTGCCTCTCCCAGACCTCGTGGGGTCAGGGCAGGGAAGGTCCACCCTGGCGCTGCCCAGCCCACCTCACTGCCCACGCCCCTGCCTCTCCGGGCGCCAGGGGGAGTGTCGCCAACACAGATCCTCCTTCAAGGGTGCTAACTTAAATAAAATATATGGAGGGGGGCAGGTAAGCATCGCCCTGTATAATCAAGATGGAGCACATGCACACTGTTTGAATGGCAATGCCCATTAACTGGGGCAGGGCGAGGCAGAGGAACCCTGGCCCCAAGGAGTTGGCTCCCATGCCCTCCTCCCTACTAGTGGGGTGCTTCCCATTTTATGTGATTTCACTTATGCATGCAGGGGCCCAGAACATAACCCGCACATAAGTTGGGAGACGCCTATATACCGTCATCTAGGTCAGCCTTCCCCATCTTGGTGTCCGCGCTCTGTTTTGGCCTCCTTCATCAGAATTCATTGCAAAAAAAAATAATTCATTACAAGGTGAAGTGCGTGAGGCATTGAATGGGTGCCGGGGGGTGGGTGGAGGAGAGGCGGAAAGAAGAGCCAATTTGTCCGTAGCTAGGGGGCGCAATCTGGATGGTTCTGCCAGGGGTGCAAGATCACCTAGCTACGGCTCTGGCACTTCTCCACCCAGTGGCTGGGTCCACATTTTTTGTGGCAGTCTGCAGGAACAGGGAAACACACATAATTACATCACAACACGAGGTAGATATATTACTACACTTTACAAGGGAGAGAAGTATACTAATCAATATTTCCGCCGCCATACTAACTGATATTGCGGGACTGTGGTAGTGACTGAGATAATTTAGGTATATGAAATGCTCTCAACAATTAAACACTGTATATAAATGCTATCATCATTATCATCATCATTTATCAAGTTACTATCGGCCAGCCTGCAAGGATCAGCATTTTTGGGATGCGTTTACTGAACAGCATTTTACATCAGCTCATATGGAGGTTTCAGAAGGCTCCTTCTCCCACCTCAGCCACCAGCTGGGCTTTCAAATGTGCCTCAACTGGGCTCTTGCAATCCTGGTCAGCAGATACACCGGGGGAAAGTTATTAAATGCAACCTGTAGTACAGTGGTACCTCGCAAGACGAATGCCTCGCAAGACGGAAAACTCGCAAAACGAAAGGGTTTTTTGTTTTTTGAGCTGCTTTGCAAGACGATTTTCCCTATGGGCTTGCTTCGCAAGACGGAAACGTCTTGCCAGTTTGTTTCCTGGTGCGTAACACCGTTAATACAGTTGCGACTTGACTTCGAGGAGCAACTCATAGCACGCGGTGTGGTAGCCTTTTTTGAGGTTTTTGAAGACTTTGGTGATTTTTGAAGCTTTTCCAAAACTTTTCCGACACCGTGCTTCGCAAGACGAAAAAAACCGCAAGACGAAAAAACTCGCAGAACGAATTAATTTCGTCTTGCGAGGCACCAGTGTAATTATTCAGCAATTCCAGCTGAAAACGCAGCACCACATGCTCACCGCTCTTTTCCACCAGATGCATGAAAGAATGAAGTGCCCTTTCAGTGAGGGATAAGTAGCTATGGAGACAAAATAAAGTATGCAATGTCCTGGAACAGGGAGCAGATTCCATATAGGTATCAGAAGGTGTAAGACAGTGGTCAGCAAACGTTTTCAGCAGGGGGCTAGTCCGCTGTCCCTCAAACCTTGTGGGGGGCTAGACTATATTTTTTTAGGGGGGATGAATGATTTTCGCCTACCTACAAAGAGGCCTGAAGATGCTTCACTTTACCTGTCCCAGTTGTCGTCCCAATAGCCACAGTTGGGCTTCTCCAGCCGGCCAGGCATCATGGTGGGGTAGAAGGCTACGTTGGCTGGTGAAGACAGAAGTAGCAGCCCCAGCAGAGGAGCCACAGACGGAGGTAAGGTAACCGTGGCACCGCCAGAGCTTTTACCCACCACCACCTGCTGCTGCTTCCTGAGTGGCACCACAGAGAAAAGAGAGCTGCCCGCCAACCCGCAAGCAGCAGCCGCAGCCACTGCAATGACCCACCTGAACGCCATGGGAGGAATGAAGGAGGAAGGCAGGCAGGCAGGCAGCAGCGAAGAAAGCGTGTGAGGAACTGGCACGGAAAAGGAAGGAAGGGCAGACTGAGGGAGAGGGAGGAGGAGCAGGAGGAAAATGCAGCGACAGCCAGCGTCACACGCCCCCTTCACAGCGCCACCCTGCTGAGGCGGGCAGGCTGGTGAGCCGACTCCCACCGTTAACAGCTCCCAGCGGGGGGCCAAGATTGCTCCGTCCCTGAGGAGAAAAGTGTGTGAGGGAGAAGAAGGGAGAGGGAAAGAATGTGCACACTGGTGATCCACACAGAAATTCCTGGGCCGTCCGTGGGCCGGATCGAGAAGGCAATTGGGCCTGATCTGGCCCGCCAGCCTTAGTTTGCCGACCCATGGTGTAAGAGAACAGAGAAAAGGGCTGGCCCGGCCATGAAGCAGCGTGAGGCAGCCTCAGGCAGCATATCTGCTCAGCGCAACATCCCTGCTTACTGCCCAACACCAACACTCACTTCTTTTTACTCCCCAGGCACCTCAGGCAGCATCCGTGTGGCGGCATTTTTAGTTCAGCCTAGTGTGGCAACCCCTCCTGGGCCAGCCCTGGTTAAGGAGAACCATAGGGGATGAATTAATACATTCAGACCTCAGCTCCTGAATGGCTCAGTTTTCAAACGTTTCAGCTCCTGAGCACCAAAAACCTGGAAGTAAGCGCTCCAGTTTTTTAAATGTTTTTCAGAAGCCAAATTTCCGACGTGGCTTCCGCTTGAGTGCAGGGAGCTCTTGCAACCAATCGGAAGTTGTGCCTTGGTTGTTGAACGTTTTGGAAGCCAAACGGGCTTCCGGAATGGATTATGTTCCGACAACCGAGGTTTGACTGTACCAGGAATTAGCTGAGAAATCAGGAGAATGTTGCCTGAAGGGGAGGCAAGTAAGGAGAAGCCCATTTATCCACTGGCTCCTTCTGCAAGCAGAAGCTGTGGTGTCCGCTCCTTGGTCTTGCCTATTTCAAAGGATCAGAACATAAGGGGGGAAATCAAGCAAAAATCCCATCTAGTCCAGCATTCTGTTCTCACAGACTGAGTGAAGCCCACAAACAGGACATGAGAGCAATATTACCCTCCTTCGTGATCCCCACCAACTGGTATTCAGAGACATATTGCAGAGACAACTCCAGCAAACCACTGAAGGCAAGTCTGTGATTCAACCATTCCTTAACAATGATGGGCATTCAGGTGTGCATATTAGTGCACGTGCGCACACACAGGGCAAGTTCATTGTGACCTCAAGACAGGAGTGGGGGTCCATTTCCCCCCTCCCGCTCAGCTTCTTCTATTCTCCATTTCTTGATGGACCCCACATCATACCATCATTTTAACTGCTTCCTCCTCCTTGCCCTCCCTGTCCTTCAACTCCGCTGCTGAAGATGAGCATGTGTAATAGAGGCAGAGCTCTCCACCGTGTCTGTGAATCTGGGCAATGGCACCAATGTCGGTGGCCACAGCTGGCAGGCCTTCTGCCCAGGAGCGGGTCCCAAGTGCCAAACAACAGTTCTAGATATGGCTATCTCTCATGTAGGAAGAACTGCCTCTTCTGTTGCATCCTAGAAGGGGCTACAGGATGCACATGTCTCTCTGCTTTTGGCTGAGATGCAGAAATATGGTGAAAGGAAGAAGAAAAACCCTATTCACATCATGTCTATCCAGAGAGTGATTATTCTTAACACATCTTGTTTCTATTGATATATATTATCCAACCAATCCTTGAGGGGAAGACTCAAAATTCTACAATATGGGATTGGTGCTTTAAATTACTAATATCTTTTAAATATATAATATGGATATATTGTGTTCAGTTGTAGAAACAAGCTTGATCACACACCCACACCCGGAAACTGTCTTCAACATGTGAAATATCCTCTCTCTGATTATCGCTCATTTCTAGGAAGAGGTCTTTATCCACTGACATACAGCGTGTGCTCTTTGCCAGCTCTTGACGATAAATAGGTTCCTTCCATGAGGCTTTAACAGCCTCTAGAGGAAATCACTTGTAGGCAGCATTAATACATTCTGGAGGTGATGGATGTAAAAGAAGCTCATTAATATTCAAACAAGTATGCTGTGTGTCTGAAGGAGCTTGGAGAAAGGAATAAAGCGTGCATGCTTTCGTCCCTGGAACCAAAGCTGCAACTAATCTTCTCACATCTAAATTCCTAGTAAATTAACAGCCCATGTAGGACTTGGAACTTAGGGTGAAACCCAGAGATAAGGAGCTAAGAGACTAAGCTACCAACAAGCCACTTTCCATTTTGTCATCATCAACAACTTTATTGATGTAGCCATGGGCCTTGGCACTTCACCGATAAAATTTCCCTTACAGAAAGTTACAATAAAATCTACTTCAAATCTCATCTCTGGCACAATTTTACCAGGAGGCCTTAGGCAAGCACTAACTCACAATCTTAGTTCCCCATCTGCAATATAGGGATGACAACATCAGTCTACCTTATGGGGGTTGTTGTAAGGTTAACTAAGATAACAAGCACTGTGGTTTGAACATGGCTGACTTATAAATGGTACAGTGGGAGCAACTGCACTAGGGCCCAGACTGCAAGGACTATGCCAACAAGGCAGGCAAAGCCACTGCCCAGGCACCATGCCCGCAGTGTCTGGCCACCTCCAGAGAAGCGTGGCCACCATCAGTGCCACTATTGGGCAAGATCTCACCTGAAATCGGCAAAATCTCCCCCAAAATCAGTACCAATGGCTGTGCTGCTTCTCTACCAGTGGTGGATGCTGAGGGGTGTGTGGCAGTGGCAGCAGGATCAGGTGGGTGGTGGTGGGAGCAGGGTAAAGGAGCACTTCCCATGTTGCCTCAAGTGGCAAAGCAGGACCCACCGCCCCAGCTGTGCCAGCAGAGTTCCTTCGGTGCAGCAACACTCCCATTTCCTCTATTTGTCATGGGCTCCCTCCAATTTTCTTCAGAAGGTACCCAACCCTCTGGAGCAGATTTCAAGGGTGCACTTGGGGGGACTGCAGGGAAGGAACTGACCAATAATGCCACACCCCTGGCTGACAGAACTGGTCAGATCAAATTCAGAATGTGAGGATGAGGTTGAGGATGGCGAGCATGAACCAGCCAGCTGAAACCTGCAGAAATTTTCTCGACTCTTCCAAGTCCTAAAGTACACAAATGATCTGACTGCAGAGTTTGACACCCCTCCCTCCCCCATGAAATGCAGTCTCAAGATCATCCATGGGATGACAGATACTCTGAGGCTGTACAAGCAAATGTTTGATGACCTCAAGAGACAACAGCAGCAGCTGCCAATCACCAGGTTCATCACGAAGAAACCCCCACCAGCAGCAGATGTGCATAGGCAACCCACCTCTGGATCTGAACCACAGCCAAGCATTGCTTCTGGCTACTGATCAGTTCCCCTGGTCCTCATATCATCTGCAACATCATTCAGAAGGGAAAAGCAGGCAGAAGGCTAAGAAGACTAAGAGCAACATTTGTTCCTCACCAGTAAGTGCAGCAATTTTTTAAATGGCTTTTAAATAGTTTTCTAGGGGTCATTCTGGCTTTACTCGATTTTGCTTAAACCTGTGATGGCCAGGAAGATAACCCCCACCTAAGATGCAAGTTACCTGTATTCATTTAAACAGTTGCGTTAGTGCAATGATGTTTAGCTGCACATTGTAACTTCCTGTCCTCTCCTCTCACTCCCCCCCTCATGGGCAAACAGAAGAGAGGGGGAGGAAGCAAAGTTATTGTGCTAGTTCATGCCAGCCTTATGCATGAGTGTAGTGGGGGGGGACAGGGGAGCACCCCCCCAATCAAGCAAATAAATACAAACACTTAACTAACTAACCAATTATGTCACAGATAACTCAGTTCTGCGGCCCCCTAACATGATGCCTGTTTTTATTATGATGATTTGTCTTCTTACTAATCTTTATAAGCTACTCTGCAAGCCTTTTCTGGTTGAAGAGTGGGGTAAAACCACTTTATTTTTCTCTGAGTTGATCATATGCAAAATTTAAAAAATGCTACTTCAGCAAAGTGGAGTTTGCATAGGTTCTTGAAGCAATGAGGAATGTTAGTAAAAAGCTGGAGTCAATAAACCAGAAATAAACAACCTTTTTTTTTTAAATGGTGGGAGGAGCTCCTGTGAATCTAAGAGTAACTGAACTGGGTCCATCTTGCTCAGCACCCTGCATTCCACAATGACAGTCAGATCCAAGAGGAAGCTCATGAGCAGGGATTGAGGTCAATAGCCTTTTCCTGTTGTTTTGTCTCTCCCCCTTCATCATATTTAGAGGTAGACAGCTTCTGAAGCCGGAGATGGAAAGGTGGCCATCAAGCTGAGATTGGTTTCTGACACCTCCAGGTTCAGAGGAAGTCTACCTCTGTATATGTTGAAGTTGTGGAGATTAGCAACAGAAAAAAGCATTGGGTCTCAAACCCTGCTTTGTCTAATCACCTTTAAAAGGGTGTGCAAGCGAATGCTGAACAGCACATAATGTGCTACGTGAAGTAGCCCTGAGCGTACTGCTCCCTTTCATGTTTCGCTGGGAGATCCTGAGTTTTAGTGCTACTGAAATTATGAATACCTATGAGTGCCATGCAAACATTTGCACAAAGCAGCATCTGGGAAAATACCTAAAAGACAACTCGCAATCTCTTCTAATCTCAGATCTACGCAATGCACTCCTTTGCATGTTTACTCACAGTCCTAGCCATCCCTCCCATCCTCAGGCAGCCTTCAGGCTCCAAATCCTGTCCTCATGGGGTTTGAGCCTTGCAGTGTGTGTTTATAGGTTTCTCCTCAGAACCTCTGGCACAATGCACTGATTTGGCCCAATGCAGCCAGCACCCACCACCCACGATACTCTTTCACCAAATATTGGGAAACAGCCATCTACAGTGGCCCAAGGATCAAAGGGGCAGGGATTGGCACCTCCAGGAGCAAAGAGTTGAGCCCAGGCTCTTTAATAATATGCATGCCC